TTTTTGTGTTTATGATGAGCAATGGAGTTGATGAGAACTCCAAGGGACACTTGTAAAATTGACACTGCACGTTTTGTTTTCTATTGTACGTTATATGCATTTTTCAAACCATCATGTTTAATGACCTAACAAATACACATTTTATCATGTGTTGTGTAAATATCTTAAAATTGTACAGTAATTCAATACCTTTTGGTTTATCATTTGCTGCCACTGCCACGATTTGAACCTGCTGTATCTCTTTTTTGAAGGACACAAAACCTCTCAGTTGATTGCTGAGATAAATTTGCTTTGCGGCCACAAGAGGGCGCACAAGACATGTTTCTTTCTTTCAGTGGGTTTAACACTAAACCATTTCACCAGAAGGATTTTCACAAGAATTTCAGTTATGTAATGGAGTGGATTGTGTTATAAAAGTTAGATGTAAATCATGAACAGTCTCCAGGTTAAAAATTGCATTTATATTCAAGGTTATATTTCAGTGCAGCAGACTGTAAGCAGTGATGGTTGCACAGTCTGACAATGTAGTTGATAGAAGGAATGACCAACAGTAAAGTTGTGTGTTTTGTGTGTTTAGGATGCAGCAGCTGCTCACTGTAGGAGCTCTCCAGCTCTGTAGTGGTGAGGTGAATGGGATTGGAAACATTGTCCAAGACTGATGTAATTTTTTTGCAAGAACATTAACAGTCAACTCACAACAATATTCTAATATATTTAAAGCAAAAATCAAAGAAAACAAAGCAATTATTGTCTTCCTGTTGGTTCTCAGTTAGAGTTAGTTCTGAACTTTGAATGAGCCATTCTCATACATGGATGTGTGTTGTCCTGCAGCATTTCATTATAACCCTGGTGTCATGAAACCCAGGTGCTACAGGAATATTCTATTTTGGTTACATCTGCAGCAGCTTTACTGTGTCCTTTTTATGGTCTTGTGGCAAAATCAGTACTTTTATAGCTTATTTGTAAAAATGCCTTTCTTCTATTAAGTTCATGGAGCGTGTAAGTTTTAGTCGTCTTGACAATAATCTCAAACCTGAGCAGGATCTCTGCGTCTTCTCCAGAGTCACCATGAACCGGTTATCTGCTTGCTCTCCCCGCCTGGTCTGTCAGCTTAGCTGTGCAGACACAATTTAAAACATTAGCAGTTAGTGTAGTAGTAGTTTCCATTTCCAGGTGATGGAAATGGAAACTGTAAAATGTCCAAAGCTTAAGATATATGGGTTTATAACCCTACCCTGCTTTACATTTCTTCACAACTTTCTTCTTGACTTCTCTGCTGTCTTCATTGGACTTCAAGAACATCTGAATTGTGCTGAGAAACTGTATTTGCTGAAGTTCAAAGCATTGTATCTTAGGTACAAGAATGATGGTAAAAGATTCATATATTTGTTTGAATAAAGGAATATAAACCTCTGCCACTAATTAGTCGCTGCTCCCTGTCTATTTTTACCAGGAAACTATTCTTCAAGGGAATTAAGTTCGCTCAGGTTAATACCTTCCTGCATCTACATAAGTCAGATGAGAGGGCAGGCCCTCTGCTGTTCCCTTACAGCTCCCTCACTAAGACTTTGTCGCGCCATGAGGCTCTGAGGCGTTTTCTCTGCACCTATGACTAACTTCAGCCATGTTCTGTCTCCTGTATTGCCTCTGACGAGCTTTGGCAACGTGCTGTTGTTTCTTTTCAGTATTGCCCTTGCTGCGGCGATCATCTACCTGAACGTGTCTGTGTTCCTCTCCATCCTTCTGAGCAGGTCGCTGCGCAGCGAGAACCGCTTCATGTACATGCTGAGCACCTGCCTCAGTGACATCTGCACCGGCGTCTCTTATTATTACGCCGGCGTGCTCGATGTGAAAGATCATTTCCAGTCCCCAACCCGCACGTTTTACATCGTGCCCACGTTTCTTGGCCTCTCCTTCATGGCCATCCTGGCCGCCCAGGCGGACCGGTACCATGCCGTTACATCTCCATTTAATTATTCCCAGCGCATGACCAGAAACAGAACCCTGTTAGTTATCTTCGCCTACTGGTTCTATGCGTTCTTCATCGTGGCTGTGCAGAACCTGGTCCCGGTAGGGACAGCTACTAAGATCACCAGCATCGGTACATTTATCGGGAACATTTTCGTTGTGGTTATAATGATAGGTCTGAACATCAGGCTGTTTATCATCGCCACCTTCCAGCTGGGCAGGGAGCCGCCCTCTGAGGAGAGGGACAGCAAGCGCTCCTCGGTGTATCTCATTCTGGTGGTGGCTGTGTTTTTCCTGGCGGCCTGGATCCCCTTGTTCTGTCATATTATCGCCTGTAATTTCATTGGCACCATCTGCTACACCTTTGGGAATGAAGGCACCGATCCTCTTCGCATTTTGCCCAGGGTCAACGCCGCTCTGACCCCTGTTCTGTACTTGAGAGGGTGCAAAGCGCTGAGAGTGGCGCTCTACTCCACAGTGTGGAGACCCTGTTGTAAAAACCGGTGAGGTGCTGATCGTGTTTTTTATTTTTATTTTTTAAATCAATTTTAGGCTGTTTAGAGACACATTTTTATCACACGTTTAAACTTCACCTATCAAATTTACTGTTTTGTGTACATCTGAAATACTTCTAGGATATTAAACTAGATTACAAATGAATGACAGAAGAACAATTTGTATGAATGAGAATAGGTGAGTTAAATATGAAGTGAAAAATAACCTACTCCAATCAGAGTCATACTGAAAGCCTTCTAACTGTCACAGTTCAGAGCTTTTCTTTCTTTCATTTTTTGCTCTTAGCATGACAGCTGTGTTTTGTGTTGTGGAAAGGCCTGCTGACCCAACCTCTTCTGCTCTCTCTGTACAGGCTACTTCACCGACAGGTTGGCCCCTCTAAGCATCCAGACCCGGCTTAGTTGAGAAGTTGGATGGATTTTTAGCATTCTTTGCTAACTACCATGTTTTTTTTTTCTTGTGTGCTTTTTGTTGGAAGTTGTTCGGTATTTCAACTGGTCTTGATAGGTTGGTTTGTTCAATGTCCAATGGAGATTAATACTGAGAATTGATCATACTGCATTTTATATTAAGTTGTGTAGTTTATACAGAAGTCTAATAAAATAAAAATTTCAAGAATATGTGATTTCCTTCTTAAGACAATGAGCAGTTGAGTTAGCTGTGCCCTTTAAAGCTTTGTTTCTATCATGGTAGCTTTACTGCTTTCAAAATGACATAGTTGTCCAGATAAAATAATATATGCTTAAGCAGGTGTGGGACCTAAATTGTCAAATAAATTAAACTGTAGCTATATTTAATGTCCATCTATCCAGTCACAACATATCACTACTTTTGCATTTATTCTTTATTTTATTTTGATCTTGATTTAAGAAAGCATTCTTTTGACATAATCTGTAAGACTTTATTTCTCTCTGTTGCTGTTTGTGGTGAATTTGTTCATCTTACATTGTGTTTTCAATTAAATGTAAAGACAGTTAATATATTTTCACATTTTATTAGACTCTTCTTACCACAACAGAGATTATGTTGAATTTTAAATGCAGATTTGTGGAATTTACTTTTTTTTAAAAAAACAAAAAACAACAACATTGTTTTACTTTTTTTGTTTGAAAAGTCACTTAAAGTATAGAGTTGTATTCAGTAAAAGTTAATTTCCTCTGTATATATATGGAAAAAGCACATAAGAAATCTTCATTCAGACTTTTTATGTGGTATCCACACTAATGTATAATCATCCGTGCTATTTTTCCCTATTAATTCTTATAATTTCAACACAATTCCATGTCGTTTAGGTCCCGTTACTGAAATCATGTGTAACTGTGCAGTTATATTTTTTATTTTTATGGATTGGTTCTGCATTGCATTAGTTATTTGTAAGTAAAATCTGTGCTTCTTGGCCAGTAGATTAAAAAAATATTCTATAATGTTATTAATTAAGTAATTAAGAAATAAGGCTTTTAATAAGAATATGTTATTTGAAATATCATGTGTACAAATGAAACAAAGTGGTGCAATTTTATTTTATTTTTTATTTATTTATTTATTTATTTATTTATTTATTTATTTATTTATTTATTTATTTATTTATTTTGCTTTTTCAACTGTATTGATGCTACAGAAAGATGCATATGGAGCGTACTGCGAAGACATAATTTGAAACCTGACCACACGGGGTCAGGAGAGAGCTTTGGCACGCAGCCATAATATTCAAAACAATGCCAAAAGCAGAAGATTTAATATATTATATTTATTTTATAAAATAAAGTCACCATTTCTTCTTTTGAGCAATTGAGAAAGTAATGAAGTGCGGTTTGTTTACGAAATTTGAATCACTAATACAGATCTTAAAAGACTGGGTTGGACCGAAACTCATTAAGGCTTCATCCCGGTTTCTATTGGCTGGAGGAGGGTCACTGTTATGGGAGGAGGAGCCTGAACAACGTCACACTTCCGCACATCTGGTGCCCAGTCTTTGAACCCCATCATTCGTATGATTCATTTCTTTTATAATTATTTAAAAGGGGGTAAAGGACAGATAAACATTTGTTCTATACACTGTAACAGAGCTTGGTAGATTTATGCAATAACAGGTCACCACTAATATAACACATGTAATTGGGCTAGCTGCTTCAGTGTGTGTATTGAAAGGGGGACTTTCTGACATTCAAACGTCCACTAATGAGATTTGTGTAATTAAACTCTAGCAACACGACATTTTGCTAAAGTTTGTGGTTTTGCAACAAATGCTGCAAAACCACAAATGATTTTGCAACATTTGTTGTTAAACTGGGATCGAAGCTAACTAATTGCTCTAACAGGCAGTCTTTGATGTTATTTTCATGTTCCTCTGTTACGGAACCACTATATTTCAACACCTAAGTATCATGTCTGGGACATATGTTTGTGTTATTGTGAAACAGAATATAAGTTGTGTCCTTGGAATAAAAAGCCCGCCCAGAAAACCCCCCCTTTCTCTGTCTCTCTCTTTTTCTCTTGTCCTGCCATGTTGCAGGTAAAGTTGCCAGGGGTCTGTGTCTGAGAAAGTGGTCAAACCCTCCCACAGTGGGGTGTGTGTGTTTTCTGCTGCGCTCTGGGTTGGTTTCTATTCAAATGTGGGTCAGGGGTGAGGAAGCCTAACGTCATAAGCTTGCAACATGGCGTCCCGAAGGCTGTGAGATGAGCAGGAGGATGGTAAAGAACGCCTGAGAACGGTCCTACCGATGTAAAAAGGTATTTTCAACACGTTATTTCTCTTTACGGTGGCTTGGGAGTGGACAATCGGGGCTGCTTTGGTGTCTTTATGTTTGGCTCGGCTGCAGGAATCGTAAGGGTATTTTTCCCCTCTTCTCCGGCGTGCCAACAAAAAAAAGGGGGCTCTGCTGCTGCTGGTTGTACATGCTCTACCAGGCTGCTTGGCAAAGCTGTGAAACACACCCCGGGTTTGCAAAACGCTCATCTTGAGTTTTGGTGCTTAATCGCAGAGCGCATTGTTTGCAAATATCGTGGCGTTTATTTTCGCGTCGCAAGACTCCCACGGGAGATGCCCCACAGGACGGCTGTGTATACCAGATAATTACCGGGGCTGGTTGGCAGAGCGCATCAGCGACGAAAGAAATGATCTCCCCTAGAAACACTGAGATGTTTTCTCCAAGGGTCTTTTTCCCCCCCTCTCAGGTTAATGATCTAAAACGCTCGGAGAAATTTTCTGAATGGAAAATGTGATCAATGAAATGACTTGTTTTGGTCGATTGTAGTCATTTAAAAGCCCACAGGACCATTTCCCAAATGGAATAAAAATCCCTCCCTTTGAATTTTACGCACTGTTTTTGGCACAATCACAGGCTAATTATATGTTGGTGTGAACTGCATTGTTTATATGTAGGTTAAGCCCCCTTCCTCTTAGGTAGGGCCAATTAAAATGATTTAATGCGATTGACGTGCGTATACGATCAACACAATATAGAATCTGTAGCACATGAAATGTTATTTTCAGTGGTCTTCTCGTTAGACCGATGCGATTTCTAGATTACATTGTATAGCTTGTTTTTTTTTTTTTTTTTTTTCACGGGGCATGCTGTGGGTGTAGCGTTACACTGACCCACAAACTGCAGTGTTTTATGGAAACGGTGGCGCATGACTTGGATTTCCGCGTGTAAACAAATTTCTTTGGTCCAAATCTGATCATTATGCGCTCTTATTTTTAACTTGCAGACTGGGCCATTCGCATTCCAACAATGTATGTGCTCAGGTGTGAAGTGAAGGCAGCTTTGCTCCCAAGGTGATCAGTGTTGTTTAAGTACCAAGGGGCATGGCGATAATAAGGCACAGGAATGCCAGTAATGCGTGTTTGCCTTGAGTGGCTCCTGTTTTTCTGTCTTGGTGTCTTAAAATTTTCCATCTTGCTCCTCTTTCTGCTGTTGAGTGGCTTGCATAGTGGTAAGCCGTAGTGTAAATATAAGGTAGAGTGTAGAAGTTTTCACTTGTCTGTAGACAGGCTTGTCTGTAAAATGACTGTTGAAATAATATTACATAGTCTTGTTTGCATTTCTGTTACTCATTGTTTTCTGTTTACCCCTCTTGTGTGTGGAAAGTTTTAGTTTTTTGGAGTAATGTAAAGATAATAAGAGCCAGGTAATTTGAGCATTGCAGTTCTAATATCATTACCATATATGTAATTAGTTTTTTTTTTCTTTTTTTTTTTTTTACATAGACATAAACCAAGTTACGGAATAAACACAGTCAATGTTTATTAGTGGATTTTACGTGATGTTTTTTGTTGTTTTGTTTACAGTGAAGCACTGGGAGTGTAACTATTTGATTTTAGCCAGTTAATTATTCATATATCTGCTTCAGTTGAATATCTTAAGAGACACAATACTCAAGGCTTGCCAGAAGTTGTTTTGTTTCTGTTACTTCATTAAGAGTGATTAGTGGCTGTGCTTCGTTCGTTTCCCATAATATGACTGCTCACCTTTTTCTGCGACTGGTAATATTCCTAGAAATGTGTTTTTATTGTTAATGCAGGAAATAATGCTGACCTTTTCTGTCAGCTGATGGGCAGTATGCAGCAACATGTGGGGGAGGGGCAGCTCCAGTCATCTGGGGAAAAAAACTCAAATCACTCCAGCACTTTCGGTGGCCTATTAATGTTTTAATGAAAACTTGGACCGGTTTTGGAACCGTTCTAGTAATTCCAACTGTCTCTTATACAGTTCATTAAAAGAATGTTAAACCTTTAAGATCGGTGTGACAAAAAATGTACCAGTTTTGAAGCCATAACCTTTGGTAATCTTTGTGTTCCTTGACACCAGAAACCAGCCCAGGCCTATTTTCAACAACCTTTTATCCCTCTTGTCTTCCCCGGCTGCTTGAACCTATAATATGAAGATTTCTAGATGTTATTTTGGCCGGTCACACCCAGCCAGAGCTAAAGTTCAAATGTTCAGTTGTTTTTCCCGTCAGTCTTGTTTATGTTTTTAAACGTCAAGGGTTATTAACACATTTTGACATCGGTGAAAGACGCCTCTTTGAACCAATCAGGGATAAAATGATGCATATATTATAAAGGCTATAAGCACCAATCAGTTATCTTCACTGTAATTTCATTGCACAGCTGTTTTACCACCCATTGCAGTTGCAGTCAGATAATTGTGCGACCTTACAGTGAGGGTCAAATCAATTAATTCAGACCATTAAAATGACCAAGTCAACTGATCAGTGTGACAAGTTTCATTGATTACTGTATGGGCAACGATTTCTGGCCTGCAGGGTAATGTGAGGCCTGTGTTTGTGTGCCTCATATGATTCTCATGATCAGCCGGTTGCCTCACCCTTCTTGTCCCTTCCCCTCCTCAACATGCACTCAGCATCCTGTGTGCAATGCAGTCATGGCTTACTGTGGCATGTGTGGGCAGTAAGAAGGCTACTTAGGCTATATGTTCTGCTGACATGTTGGACGAGGACTTATAGATTGTAGCTGCTCTGCTCTGTGCAGCCTGTTCATAGACAGTTCGGTTTGTTCAGTGGATAAAACACCTCGGGGCAGGGTTGTTGTTCGTCTTGAAGAAGAAGAATGTGGAATGTATTGCTGATAGCCAGAAGGTTATGTGCAGTTTAAAAGTTGGTGGGAGAAGGGGGAGGGCGGTATTTTGTGGAACGTTCTCTCCACCCCGCCTGCTGCTTCTTAGTCCAACCAGAAGGCATCGGGTCGTGTGGGGTTGTTACTTCGTTTTACAAGCCAGGGTGAAGTGGAGAGGTCTTATCGCATCAAGTTTATTGTGTCAAGACAGAGAACCCTTCATCACATTAATCATATCTTCAGTTCTCGGTGAGGTAGTTGATCACCTCACTGCTGTGTGAGAGCACACAGTGATGTATTATGCGTGTTACAGCAGGCTGGCACACAGTTCAGTGAAGGTGTAAGTAGTATCGTTTCAGTCTTTATCTAATTTCTCCAGGGTAACTTTGGGCAAGCCATGAAATACAAAAGTACCACTGATGACGCAGAACAGAGAGTCGTGCATAAACCAAATCACAAACTGGAGGTTGTTTTTTCTCAAAGGGATTGCAGAAAAAAATTAATTAATTCAGTGTTTGTTTTTTAAATCAAGCTAGCTTCTTGCAGATCCTTAGCACTCTCTCAGACTAACTTTTGACTTCTGTCACCTTATTCCAAGAATAAAATCATGGATTTCTTTATAACATAGGAGGAGATAGGAACATCATTCAAAATGCATTTTGAATAATCATTCATTATTTATAATGGGAGCAGAGGCAACGTCACACCACTGTGTGAGAGCAGTCGCCATAAAACAAGGTTTTACTGTTATTCTAAAAACAAAACAAAGTTATAGCTGAAATACATTATTGTCTTTATCACCTTATAGTAGCAGTTAGCAGAGCTAACATGACTAAGCCTCTGTTTGTATTCCTTAGAGAAGTTAGATCGTTACTTTATCGACGAGATTTCTAAAAAGACTCCTTTTCACTATTTTCAAAATCCAGGATGTTCTTTTAGAGGCTGGAAGCTCAGATGAAAAACAGGATCATTTTCTTCATTCATCCTGCTTATCTGCTGACAGTCTTGCTTTCTAACTCTCTCTGTCGCTCCCATGGTATGAATAAAATGCAGACGTTTAAAAAAGAAAAAAAGTTTTTCTTCTAAATAGCGTCTGACATGCTGCTGACGCCATTTTCAACCACTTCAGTGATGGTGCTCTTTACTCGGTCACTGCATCTATGCCAAAGAGTAGGCTTGTCTTTAGATGTGGCGCTATCACTGATTTTAAAATGATTGGATTTTCAAGTTCCGTCAACAGACCATTTATGTGCTTATCTCTTCTCCATATACGAAAGCATATGAAAAATCATTAACTTTATATTTATTATTATGTCTTTCTCAGGCTTGAAATGCTTCCATCAGCACTGTTGGAAGCAAGGAGACATGATCTGACACCGTAGCCCAATGATGCTGTTTTATCTTTCTTGTATTATCTTTATTTCATCATATAAATATTCTTTGTTGCACCTTGTTTTTGAACATAATTTCTGTATTAACTTGTAAAGGCTTGGATTCCATGAATTAATAACTTAGAAATATCCTAATTCTGTTTCCATTTATTTTCAGTTGCAGGTTTTTTGCTTGAATAAAACTAAATTATCTTGCAGGATTTGTTGCCAAAAATTAATATTGGTACAGCATCAAGTTCTAATGAACATTAAAAAAATATATAAAATTATAGAGCATTTTCATTAATTGAATATTTTAGTTGATTTATTTTTTTTGTCTGTAACCAGGATTCGTTTTTATGTTCCCTATTGCAAAGCTTAAGTTAATAGATGTCTGTCGATTATGCATTATTTGGAAACTGTTGCTTTAAGAAATTACAGACTTGCTAAAAATGTGCTAGTTTTATAGCTGAGAAATTAGTTCCCTATGTTTTATTACATAGTGGCATGAGTGAAATGGTGCATAATAAATCTTGTGCACCCTCTACTCTCTGTAAATTTAATTTAGCATATCTGTTTTGTTTTAGTTATCTAGTGTCATACTGGTTGGTACCGTACACAGAGTAGCACTTCGGCAGTTCTCTCAGACCTCTCAGACCTACTGCAGGGTAATTCCTGAAAGGAAAATGTGTTTTGTTCGACTTCTATATTAGAAACCTCACAGCACTGGTACATTTGGGGTTCACTGCCCCTCCTTCTCCACTGCACTGCACCCTTAGCAG